GTGGTGTGTCAGTCGGACAGTGACAGTAACCAATATAGTTCCAAATGAAACCTGTTTCTTATACAGAGGCGTTACTTCATATAAGCAAAACAATTGCCTCCACAAATTGTTTTTACTTGCAACCCATCGGTCTGTCCGACCGAGAAACTGCCCTTTTTCCAAGGGAAGCTACTCTAACCCTAGTCTATATGAGATGTCACGGCCACTGTCGGCTTGTTCTGTCATAACGTTACGAAGGAACAAGGTAACAATTCGACCAAATCCAACTGTTTTAATTTGTGGAAAAGGCTCCAAACCGCAGAGATCCCTCTGGAAACTGACCCCGCTTGGCTTGTGCCCTCGCAAAATTGTTTCGCAATTTATATCTCCAAAGCTGCCAAAACTTGTAAAATGTCTTTGCTAATTCGCAGTTAGACACTGATTTTCAGTATATAAGACCACCGTGATATTGCTGGAGTATTGCTAAAAATCGCGTAAAACCAAACTCACTCACTCACTCACTCACTCACAGTATATAAGACTATTGTTTGGATAATGGTAGCAATTATTGCAGTAGTTTCTGATAACTCTGAACTTCTTCTAGCTTCTATAACATTTAATACACACCAATCAGCATGACATTACACAGCCATGTGCGCTTGTCGACCATTCGTCACCACTCGACCGTTCAAGAAGACTCGTCCCTCTATCGATGAATGTTATGTGCCAAAATACGACAAACCAATCAGAATGCGTGTATGATTTCAATGTCTTCGTCAAAGAATCCCTCAGAAATATTTTTTTATTTTATATATGTTTTGCATCTAAAAATATACACAAGACACAGGTAAATGTGTTCAATCATACTGTATAATTCCGCATGTCCCGATGTGCTTTAACTTGCATCTGAAATATATATAATATATGGGGAAATATATGTGAACCATTACGCAACGAGTTGACAATTGTATTAGGTATGCCCGTTTGCGTTAAGACGGCACCCGGTCGCACAAATGGCCATGAGAGGCGCACGAGTCGCTATTCGGCTTGTCCCGGAATAACACGAATTGGTCACGAATGCATGAGAGGGGCACGAGTCGCTATTCGGCTTGTCCCGGAATAACACGAATTGGTCACGAATGCTTGTCGACATCGGCGAGGGGGACAGACAGACAGACTGGCTACGTCACATACAAAGTTAGTTCACACAACTCGTGATATCGGTAGTTGCATATCTGAGATCTGTTGACAGTTTCTCCAGATGCCCGATGGTTAATTCTGACTCGGTCGCCGAATGACAAGGACGACGCCATATTTGTTTATAAACAGTAAAAGTAGTCCCTACTTGACCTTTGATATTTGCATCTCTCTCCGCATATGACCCCAACGGATATCGTTTGAAACCTACCCATACCACAGGCCTGCTGCCTTTACGTATCATGAATGAATATACCTAGTTGACACAAATTTTTTACAATACCATTGACCATTGACACAATTCTGAACAAACTTTAATTCCTGGTACATTAGCATGTGCTGAAATTTGTAAATGTCCATTCATATATAGGATAGATCAGCATTATTTAGCTGTGCTACTAGTTTAGTCGAATTAGCAGGGTTTTTTATTTAGAAAGGATCAACGTCGAGTTATGACTTGAGGGTCAGTAATTATTATAGTTCTTGTACATATTCAAATACATTTAAATATGAATTGAAAGATTACAAGGGCGGTAACAATTCATGTCATAAGCCTAGCAGACCGAGAAGATTACGTGTTCGAATAGGTCTTCAGCAACCCATGCTTGCAGTAAAAGGCGACTATGCTTGTCGTAAAAGGCGACTAACGGGATCGGGTGGTCAGGCTCGCTGACTTGGTTGATGCATGTCAGCGATCCCAATTGCGTGGATCGATGATCATGATGTTAATCAGTGGGTTGTCTGGTCCAGACTGGATTATTTACAGACCGCCGTCATAAAGCTGGAATATTGCTGAGTGCGGCGTTAAACAACAAACCAACCAACCATTAGCATGACAGCACAGTAGGAAAGCATGGCGCCTACACTTATCTTGTTAACCAACAGTTGTTGAAGAGCAGCATGTCATCAAGTATATAGGTTTGATGCGGGTCTTGTCTGGCTTTACTTTCAGAAAGTATGCATGTTTTTTCGGGGCCCTTGTAACTTGCAATAGATATAAGACGTTTCATGTGTGTAAAGTCGATTTATTTATGGAAAAAGTAGTATCTCACTTCTTGTGTTTCTTCTGTGTAATCATCATGACTTAGGATTTTGGCGAGCTTTGTGCGACTCTTCCTCGGGGGTTGTTTGGTTTGGTGACGAATTGATGCATTCACTATTGTTAATTGTGGAAAATACTTGTATTGACCTGACAAAGTTCCAAGCAGTTTTACCCAATCATATGAACGAAAACATTTTTAGGAATGTACAATTGTACATTCATATATAAAGAAATCAAAGAGGTTTGAATGAGTAATGTGAATGTACATACGTTTCTCTATTTCTGCGGTTGCACATTCATTTTGTTCTGGTTCTTCCGTTAGTTGCAGTGTTTGTTATAATGGTAAACATTCCATTAATCGTTTCTACATGACTTTGCAGTTTGTTAATATGGAATTTAGTTTTGCTTATGATTGCTATTTTTTGTCATTTACCCTATGGGAAGTTGTTAAGTGCTTGAGTCACAATATTCTGTACAAAACGTTTCGATGGCAAAGATGCATTAAAATGATTTGTATGTAACGCTTTGACCTAAAATAAAACACCCGGTTAATAACATGCTTGGACACAACATTCTTTTCCAGTTTTTTACCATTTGGCGAGAATGTCGATAAAGCACCTGTAAGGTCATGTTATTTTATGTTTTTCCCCATCTTCTCGTTCAGCTTCAGAGCAAACGCGTGAATGGATGATAGCAAATTATTCAATTTCAGCTTTATATTATTTTGCGTATCTGTTGGTTATATTTGACTGCAAAAGAAATATCCATTCTCTATGCTTAAGCCGTGCCGGAGCCTTGCCCTTTCCTTATTATTTTGACTGGGGGGCACGTCAAAGGCGCCGCAATTCGCTGTGCAGAGTTGCGTCCCTTGGGCATGCCAGAAACCTATGAATGTGGGCTCGCCCCGATTATGCTTCTAGGTCTGAGACCTGCATCATTTCGGGCTTTCCTCCCACATAAAGCTGACACGCCTCGATACAACTGGAATAATGTTAAAAGCGGCGTTAAACCCAACTCACTCACTCACACAATATTATTTTCACTAAAACTTTCACCGTTATCATTTTGTTGTCTGATGAGAAATGCCCGTGGCAGCTGCCCTCGGTTGCTACATATTAGATCAAGTACGTGCTGTCAACAATACGCGAATCGCACATGCACAGAACGGCAAAGTTGAACGAGGCGTTAAATAATCTGCATGCGTAGAGCGGTAAAATTCAGCACTTCCGCTAAGAATTACGAGCACCGCGTCAAACTCCAGCTTGCAATCTGACACGCGAGAGCAGAGAGCGTCCCCCCTAAGAGCAGAAGGACGGGCCACGCCATACCAAAACAAGACGATGATATTTGTTGTTGCCCTGTCTGGCGCTCGGCATTAAGGGGTTAAAACAAGGACTGGTCGGTTCGGAGTCAGTTTGCTGTGTCTGAGTGTTGTATTCATGATAAACTTCGGTATAGTATCTCAGCGGGCGAGCACTATAAAATTGGCATTGGTCCGAACTAGTGGAAGCATTACTCTTATAGAAAGGTCTATACAGAGAAAACAATTTTTTCACAAGTTAATTTGTATAATAATTTATTGTATTGTAATGAACAAATATCGGTTCTATTATGATGCTAAACGATATCCTTAAGTTTCAGGACTATACTTTCAGTTTGTTTTGAGAACAAAACTGACAGTTGTCATACCACTTTGGCCCCCGTGAGCTTGGAAGATAAAACGCATCTTCATTGATTCTTTTGGAACGGGGTCCGTGAAGATCCGGGGTAGAATAGGTCTTCAGCAACCCATGCTTGCCGTAAAAGGCGACTATGCTTGTCGTAAGAGGCGACTAACGGGATCGGGTGGTCAGGCTCGTTGACTTTGTTGATGCATGCCATCGATCCCAATTGCGTGGATCGATGTTCATGATATTAATCACTGGATTGTCTGGTCCAGCCTCGATTATTTACAGACAGCCATAATATACCTGGAATATTGCTGAGTGCGGCGTTAAACATCAAACCAACCAACCAACGTTTGGAACGGTACCAGAACTTGTTGTATCATTGGTAGTTGGAATGACAATATGCCTGCCCCAAATAGGTGCGTGCGTGTAATAGCATATTCTTACCCATATTGTACTTCATGAAGGGGTAATATGACAAATTATTCAGCACTACGGATGACCAGGTCACATTACTCTTTCTTTACGCTAATGAAACAAACCAAAGAATTTTCTATTTGTACATATAGACTGAAATCTGTTGAACAAGAAGGCCTTAGCACACAAAGTAATTAGATGTATTAACAGTAAAATTCTACACGCCTGGACCCCTGACAGGAGCTCAAAATATAGTTTGCCCAAACCTAAACGTTTCATCTCCTGCAGCAAACAGTTCGGGAATGAACTGATCGCTGTTTGCCATATCACTTTGTTGAGTGAGTGAGTAAGTATGGTTTTACGCCACTTTTAGCAATATTCCAGCAATATCACGGCGGGGGACACCAGAAATGCGCTTCTCATGTTGTACCCATGTCGGGAATCGAACCCGGGTCTTCGGCGTGACGAGCGAACGCTTTAACCACAAGGCTACCCGACCGCCCCTCTGCCAAAAAGAACGAAAAGAGTAAAGACCGGAAAAGCAACCCCTTTAGGGCAAATGCACTTAAGTATTATTTTAAGTATCTTGATATCAAAACCAGATTGACTGAAACAAATTCAAAGCTTTTGGACATGTTTGGAGTCATTCAGGAAGTCTATATTACGAAAGGTTTATCTATGAAATCATGTTCTTTCAGAATGTGGACTGGAATGAGGCTTGTGGTTTTGTTGGCGGTGTTACATATCGTCAGGCCACAGACAGTGTCGACTCTAAATGGCCCTCTTCTGGGACAACGTCTGTCAGTGCTGGGTAAATCTCTTGATGTATTCTTTGGAATCCCATACGCTAAGCCACCTGTTGGCGACCTCCGCTTCAAGTACCCCCAGCCTTCAGAGTCATGGGGACCGGAAGTAAGGGGTGCACAGAAACCGACACCATCTTGCTTTCAAACTACGGATCTGTTTAATTCTCCTGAGACTTACAGACAGACCCCTGATGATTACAGTGAAGACTGTCTTCATCTTACAGTGTGGGCGCCAAAAGACAATGGTGGCCATCTGGCAGTGATGGTTTGGATACATGGTGGGGGGTGGTACTTTGGATCTACACGGGTGCCACTGTATGAATGTAAATACATTGCAGCAGAGAATGACGTCATCGTTGTATCAATGAATTACAGATTAGGACCTTTAGGCTTCAGCTACCTGGGGCCAGATACCATCCCTGGCAACATGGGCTTGATGGATCAAAGACTGGCTTTACAGTGGGTGAAAGATAACATTGCCAACTTTGGCGGGGATCCAACCAGGGTGACCATATTTGGAGAAAGTGCTGGTGGTGTCAGCGTGGGTCACCACTTGGTGTCACCTCTGTCACGAGACATGTTTGACAGAGCCATCATGCAGAGCGGGACTCACATTTCTCCATGGGCTTACGCCAAAGCCAAAACAGCAAAACGGAAGATGAAGAGGTTTGCTGGTCTCCTCGAATGTCCATCATCTTCAAATGATGCAGACATATACGACTGCTTGAAGACAGCAGATGCCCAAACTATGGCTGACGTTCAGCTCGGTTTGTTTGATGAAGGACTTGCATTCGTCCCAGTTGTGGATGGATACTTTCTCCCTGATGACCCAAAAACTCTCATGTCGAGTGGTTCCATCAAGCAAACAGGTGTATTACACGGTTTTACGAAAGATGAGACGACACTGTTTATGCCGGCGATGTTGAGGCAGTTGAGAAACATAACAACATTACCAGAAACATTGATTTTAACTCGCCCAGAGTATGATAATCTTCTTTCATTTGAACCTGGAACCGGAGAAAGAATTCAAGAACCCCTTCAGCTGTTTTATGAAAGTCGGAAAGCTCCTCTAAAGGACATTGACTATTTTGATGTCGTGAGTAACTTTGGTTCGGATAAGACAATAAAGTGTCCTCATCTGGAGTTTGACAGATTGTACTCTCCTGATAACCCTACCTATGTGTACAGTTTTAACCACCGACTATCAGTTAGTCCGTATCCACAGTGGATTGGAGCAACCCACTGGTACGACGTTGAGTTTGTGTTTGGTTTGTGCCTTGGCAAGTCTATGGGATGTACACAGGAAGAGGTGGAACTCAGCAAGACCATCATGACCTACTGGACCAACTTTGCCAAGTCAGGGTGAGTGAGAGGGTAGTTATGTGAGTGAGTGAGGGAAGGGGGAAAGGAGGGAGAACATTCTGTTCACAAATCCTTTATGGATACCCCCATTGATACCTGCCGGACATTCGGATGTTATTCACGACAGTGTGTCACGTACTTCCCGTCTATAATCAGAAACCAGTGTGGCAACCGGACACTGAGTTTAAGTCTCTCACAAAAAGCTTAAGTTACCTCGGATCTTTTTATATTTTTCAGGACAAAATGCATGTCCAGCTGGCATTTTTTGTGGAACGTAGACATTTTGAAGTTGTCATATATGTTTGCAGTGACCCTAACGCTCCGGTCCCAGTGAAGGTGGACTGGCCGGCCTCTGACAACACTGACCTCACCTACATGGCCCTTGACGTGGGCAACAACTTAACAGCAGGACACGGGGTAGTCCATCACGAATGTGTCTTCATCAACAGGATTCTACCCATGATTCCTTCAGGTACTGTGTTAAAGTGTTAACAGATAAACACAGTCGAGTTTAATACTTGCGTTTATGTCAAGTCCACAAAGAAACCTCTACCAAAAGTAAAACACAACCAAAGTTGATCGACATGTCAAGGGAAGTAACTTCTCCATTTTCAATTTAAGATGAAATCTCCCTTTAAATTACATTCACATACCATGAACCTGCAGGTGATCACTTAGAATAATTAAATTTGGAAATTCTAACATTGTTTCTTAATGCTATTTTTACAATATTATGGATCTACCTATTCATTTACCCACCTCCTAACCACAGTCATGAGCATCAATACGCGCAATTTGGATCAATGACATGCATCAACCAAGTCAGCGAGCCTGACCACCCGATTCCGTTAGTCGCCTCTTACGACAACCACAATCGACTTTTACGGCAAGTATGGGTTGCTGAAGACCTATTCTATCCCGGAATCTTCACGGGTCTGTTCATACCAATATGTTCATACTGATACATACATACGGATGTGTTCATCCTGACACGTTCATATTGTTCATTTCCAAGTTCAATGCAGACTGAGTGTTTGTGTAATAAGCAGATGACAACAGCCCCGCTCCATTTCTCACCTTATGTATCGTTGTTGGAAATATACTGAACTGCAGCCAGGAATATAATGAATCAAATTGTTGTTTTTCAGATCCACCGGAAGGGAAGGAGTTTTGCAAAAGAGGATAGAAGGACAGCATCATAATAATCAGAGCCCGAGTAAACATATATGTATCATTATGATTTGTTTATGTAGGATTTTGCAGCTCTTTGAACAGTTCAGCAGTTATATGGCGTTTATCACTGAGTGTCAGGGCAATCCTCGTAGTTAAAGGGACGCAACTCTGCATATATTTTGTTACGTCCCTTTACAACTTACCCAGCCGTTGTAACAACCTCATGGTAACTTCAAACGTCACATATGCGACAGGCTTCAGGGAATCAAGGGCAACCAGGATGATGATCCAACTGATATAGATGAAGAGCTATTAAAAAATGTACATCCTATAGAATTCTCCTTACAAATACACAGTCTATGTAAGAATAAAAGTCCAGGTCCAGATAAAGTTGAAATAAAACTTTGTTGTTTGCAAGCAGTAATCTTCAAGCGAAACTTACAAGTTTATATAACATAATTCTCAAAACGAAATATCTGCCAAACAATGTGATATGAGAGATGGAACCTGATTAGTCAGTAGGGGGAACAGTGAAGGAACATGACGCGTAATAATTTGTCAAGGGTGGAAACTGGACTCTTATTGTAAGTTAACTTCCTTGCGTCGGGAAGATGGTCAAAAAGTGGCATAAACGGTATGTGAGTGAGTGAGTGAGGTTTTACGCCGCTTTAAGCAATATTCCAGTAATATCACGGCGGGGAACCAGACAATCCAGTGATTAATATCATGAGCATCGATCCACACAAATGGATCAGCGAGCCTGACCACCCGATCCCGTTAGTCGCCTTTTACGACAAGCATAGTCGCCTTTTACGGCAAGCATAGTCGCCTTTTACGACAAGCATAGTCGCCTTTTACGGAAAGCATGGGTTGCTGAGGACCTATTTAGTCAGAAATATCCGAGCTGTATCACGGATGCCCATAATGATGAGAGAGTGAGCGAGTATTGGTTTACGCCGCTTTTAGCAATATTGCAGCAATATCACGGCGGGGGGCACTAGAAATGGGCTTAACACATTGTACCCATGTCGGGAATCGAACCCGGTTCTTCGACGTGACGAGCGAACGCTTTAACCACTTAGCTACCCAACCGCCCCTAACCGGTATGTGAAAAGGGACTGTTGCAGAACTGTCCAGAGTTTTCACTTTGCATGTTTTCACTGAGAAAATGTCCAAAACATTTTGAAAAGTATTTAATAAATTACAGTACTAGCTCGTTGTTTGATCTCAACCTAAGAGGTCGTTCAGACTGCAAGAGACGTATACGGGGTATAAGTGCAACCAAAACATCAATGCCAGATGCAATCACTTCAACAGAGTTAAAGCTACAACGATTTCATAGTAACCTGAGCGCCTTATGTGTAGAATAAATGCTTTGTGTCCCTGTTATCCAAGAAAACACAAATAAAAAAACATATCCTCACAGATCTAGAGCACATTCCTGCAACAATAGGTACACATTCACATTCACGCATCTGATAATGTCATCATATGACGTGGAAGTGACGGTGATGCTTCGATTTATTAAATATATTTAACGATGAATGTATGTCGAGGTTGGACACATTACGAATATCTGCTTACATTGACACTTTTTTGTTATTAAAAAATGGTGCAAATTGTGCTTCATGTGTTAAGACGCTTTTCCATATTGAGTGCATAGGTGACTAGTGTGCAAGTGGTCCCTGGATTCGAACCACGCAACCTCAACAAAGGTTTCAGAGAAGGGCCATCTTCACCGATGAGTCACGGTTCCTTCTGAATGTTCATGTGTCGATCTGGCCTGCAAGAGCCCCTGATTTGCCACCAATCGAGCACGTCAAGAATGAAATAAAATGATCTTTTCACTTGAAATGAAGTTGATTTCCTTGCTGCGCTTCTAGAGTTCTGCTATGGGTGGTTCCTGGTTGGAACTGCTGAAGGGGAAACAAATTCAAGTGGCAGAAGCATGTTGCGATGAATAGTCTCCAAAGTCCCTTGACCACTCTCTTCCCTCACACAGTAGACGTGGATGTCGGTCATCACTGTCATCATCTGGTTGGGATGGATGCGGATAGGAACTTTGCTGGTTGACTTAACTTGTCCGAGTACTACTCATATGGCTTGAGAGCGCAGAACTGTTATCCAGGTTGCTGGGGTGCATGTGTTTGGTGGGTTCATGACCATTTGCATCTCAACAAAAGGAGTGGTACATCCTTGTGGTGACGTATATAAGTAACAAAAACTCTGTATCAACAATGGGGATGTAGGACCTAGCCTCGGTGTACCCTCGATGTGCCGAGGGACTTGCCTCACAGCAGTGGGCTTACTTAGTTTAAGATCCGGGATAAAATAGGTCTTCAGGAACCCATGTTTGCCATAAAAGGCGACTATGCTTGTCGTAAAAAGGCTACTAACGGGATCGGGTGGTCAGGCTCGCTGACTTGGTTGCAGCATGTCATCGATCCCAATTGCGTGGATCGATGCTCATGATAATAATCACTGGATTGTCTGGTCCAGACTCGATTATTTACAGACCGCCGTCATATAGCTGGAATATTGCTGAGTGCGGCGTTAAACAACAAACCAACCAACCAACTTAGTTTAAAGATGCCTCACTTTTCCTTAACCTTGACCTCTGGACCTGATGGGTCGCAGGCTACACGCAGGCTTCCAGTGCTGTTTTTTTTATGCCAAGATCTTCTGAAGTATCTGTTATCCTTCGTTGGTATCCTCCGGGCTGTCTCTAGTTTCTCCATTCTACTCATAACTTCCGATAGCTGGTCAGACACTATGCTGGAAGAGGTGGTTGATGAATCCATGTTCTGTATTGGTGTTGTGTACGAGGGTACTTCGTAAGAATTGGAGGTGAGCTCCTGCTCAATAATTCTAAAAGTCTGCATATGTGTGCTGTGGTCCATGTGGCAATAACGTGTATTCCTGAGTCCAGTCCAGAAACGGTTTCCTTAGCATAACACTGCCAGCTGGTCTATCTGTGTATGTTGGTCCGTCCAGTGCTCGCTGAAGTAAATAAGGGCGGTCGGGTACTCTTGTCGTTCGCTCATCAAGCCGAGGACACGGGTTCGATTCCCGACGTAGGTACAATAAGAGAACCCCATTGCTCAAATATTGCCAAATGCGGCGTAAAGACGCACGCACGCACGCACGCACGCACGCACGCACGCACGCACGCACGCACACTCACTCACTCACTCACTCACTCACCCGGATCTCGAACTTCCACAACTGCCTGTGTCAGAGTGCCTGGGGGATGAGTGTCGTCTCTAATGAGGCACTGGATCTCGAACTTCCACATCTCAACGTCAACATCAGAAATGTGTTGATGACTGTCGACATCCTGCCATGCCGACAGGTGACAATAGAATGTACATTCAAATTGTCAGGACGTCACAGGGAGAAGTCCGTGAATTGGCGTAAAGCCATGTACGGTAGCACGCACGGATATTTACACAGCGGAGAAGCAGCAACCTTAACATGGATAAAAGTAGAAATAAAACTGCCGGCGACAGTCAAAATGGAAGTAGAACATTGTCAAGGACTGACTGGTTCACTGTATAAAGACAGACAAGGAAGTTATGTGTACATATATATCTGAACACTGTCCCATGGCCTACACATAAGAAATAAATTGATTGAGACAGACATGAAGACTGATTTGTACATTTGTGACGTGAATCCCATTTGTACACGGCAGCGGAGATATTCAAGAGATATATTGAGATTACAAAACGTATGATCAAGTTACAGGATGTACCATCCGAAATCACCCGGACAACATTGCACATACGATCAAAACAATCCAATCGGTTGTATTCCTGTACGATTTGCCTCCCTTAGATCATCCATCCATAACATTTGCGTGTGTATACCCCATTCGTGACCAACTCGTGTTAGTCCGGGACAAGCTGGTTACGGAAAGAGGCGAGTGGTGACGAATGGTGTATACCCGAGTGCAGAGGGGCAGTTGGGTTTCCATATACTTTGTTCCTTTGATCGGCGCTGGAATTTGTAGATTGCTCAAAGGTATGGTGAAATGATTTTTTTTACATATATACACTTGAATGTTACATCTTATTCAACCGTTTACCCCAACTTCATTTTGAAGCGTAAACAGGGAAGATGTAGGTGTGTTTGTACCTGTACATACATGTTCCATGGCATGGCCTTCATGTCATTGTACACTTAACCAAGTAACGTGTCGAGTCTTAGGAGTACACTTATGTACGTATGGTGTACCTTTTACTATCAAGAATGATGTATTTACAAGCAAACCTTGTGTGTTGCCTTTGAGCTGTATTACCACTTCCTGGTCAAGTCGTAATAATTGACAATAGGGGATTCCCCTACATTCAGTTCTGTTACGTCAGCGGTGTGGATACTGTCTGATCCCTGTAATATTATGTTCCTTTCTCATATTCTTTATACAGCCATTTCATACAGTCATGTCGTAATTGGTAGCTTGCTTACATATTCAGAACTATGGAGGGGGGCACGGGTGGCCCAGTCGTCTAAGGCGCCGCGATTCGCTGTGCAGAGTTGCGTCCCTTGGGCACGCCAGAAATCTATGATTGTGGTTTCGAATCCCGGTTCGCCCCGATTATGTTTCTAGGTTTGTCAGCACCATACACGTGCTCGTGGGTTTCACCGAAGTGGTAAATGTCTGAGACCTGCATCACTTCGGGCTTTCCTCCCACATTAAGCTGACACGCCGGGATATAACTAGAATAATGTTAAAAAAGCGGCGTTTAACCTAACTCACTCACTCACTTAGAACTATGGAGCTTATTTTTTTCTTTTTATAGTTGCAGCATGAGCGAGGACAGTGCTGAGGATGGAACAAGCCAGGGTATGTGTTTTTCTTCATGATAAATATATTACTTAATGATGTTTTACATAACCTCATTGTAAACATTTTAACAACAGTCATATGCGAGATTATCAGAGAACCTTTTGCAATGGGATGAAGTGATCGAATTTACAATGTGCAATGCTTTACTCCGGGAAGAAAGACCGAAGCTGTACAGATGTTAGACATAGAGCGGTTCGAGCAGATGATCAATGTTTGCTTACTTATCCACAACACATCTTAAACACCATATCATGTCACACCACATCACACCACACCACACCACAACACAACACAACACAACACAACATAACACAACACAACACCATATCATATCATGCCACATCACACCAGATCAGATCATGTCGCACCACACCACACCACACCACACCACACCACACCACACCACATCACACGATAACACACCACATCATATCATGTCACATCACATCACACCACATCACACCATAACACACCACACCACACCGCATCATACAACATCTTATCATGTCACACCACATCACACCACACCACATCACATCACACCACATCTTATCACACCACACATAATATCACATCACACCACATCATATCATGTCACATCATATCATATCACATTACACCACATCACATCACACCACATCATATCACATCACATCGCATCACATTGCATCACACCACATCATATCACATCACACCACATCATATCATGTCACACTACACCACACCACATCATACGACATCTTATCATGTCACACCACATCACATCACACCACACAACATCATATCATGTCACACCACACCACACCACATCATACGACATCTTATCATCTCACACCACATCACATTACACCACATCACATCACATCACATCACATCACATCACATCACATCACACCACACCACACCACATCACATCACATCACATCTTATCACACCACACATAATATCACATCACACCACATCATATCATGTCACATCATATCATATCACATTACACCACATCACATCACATCACACCACATCATATCATGTCACACCACAACACACCACACCACTGTGTGAAGCCCATTTCTGGTGTCCCCCGCCGTCATATTGGAATATTGCTAAAGGCGGCGTAAAACTATACTCACTCACCCACTCACTCGCACATGACGTTCTGCTCCTGTTCACTGTCCTGTTGAAGCTCCGGGGTAGAATAGGTCTTCAGCAAGCCATGCTTGCCGTAAAAGGTGACTATGCTTGTCGTAAGAGGCGACTAACGGGATCGGGTGGTCAGGCTTGCTGACTTCGTTGATGCATGTCATCGATCCCAATTGCGTGGATCGATGCTCATGATGTTAATGAGACTCGACTTATTTTCAGACAGCCGTCAAATAGCTTGAATATTGCTGAGTGCGGCGTTAAACAAGAAACAAACCAAACCAAATCAAACATAATATTCACCGCTATTTTGAATTTACGCCCAGTGGAATGTCGCTTATAATCGATACTGTGAAAACTCTGGCGTTGACGTTTTATGATTATGAATGACTAATATGAATTAGTTATGATACCTGGTGAGAGTATCCTGTCCCGCAGGTGGCACCCGTCACAAACACATGTAAATGCAAGTTAATTATTCTCCTGAAAAGAGCACGGGAACATATGATCAACATAGCGAATTGCATCGTTATAATGTTTGTCACTGATGGAAAATTGGAAATGTAGTCCACAATCGTACCATAAAACCTGCTGAAAGCTCGAAATACTTTCACACCAACAAACCATAAGTAGACCCACTGCTGAAAAAGGAACCTTGAAATGGCATATGGATATTGGCCTCTTATTGTGTATTGCAAATTATAATAATTATATCTTGTTTATGCTTCAAGTTGGCCATCAAGGATCGGACGGTTCTGGACACACCAAACAAGAGCCAAATGATCATGACCAGGAAAAAGGTACATGTAACATGTATATTGTCTCTTGTCTTAATCACATCACGCAATCCAAATCACGCATTCCATCACCGGCTACGCTGCACCACGCCACGTCGCGGTACATCTCACGCCAAGCCCCGTCACCCCACTCCACGCCCCGTCACCTCACGCCACGCCACGCCACGTCACTCCACGCCACGCGATGACACGCACCGTCGCAGTGCATGTCACGCCAAGCCCCGTCACACCACACCACGCCCTGTCACACCACACCAGGCCAGGCCAGGCCACGCCAGGCCAGGCCAGGCCACGCCACGCCACGCCACGCCACGCCACGCCACGCCACGCCACGCCCCGTCACCCCACGCCACGCGATGACACGCCACGTCGCAGTGCATGTCACGCCAAGCCCCGTCACACCACACCACGCCCTGTAACCCAACGCCACGCCAGGCCACGCCACGCAAGGCCGCGCCACGCCACGCTACGCTACGCCACGCCACGCCACACCCCGTCACCTCATGCCACGCGATGACACGCCCCGTCGCAGTGCATGTCACGCCACGCCCCGTCATCCCACGCCACGCCCCGTCACCCCACGCCACGCCACGGCCCGTCAACCCACGACACGCGATGACACGCAACGTCGCAGTACATGTCACGCACCGCCACGCGATGACACGCCACGTTACGCCACGCCCCGTCACCCCACGCCACGCTATCACACGCAACGTCGCAGTACATGTCACGCCACGCCCCGTAACCTCACGCCACGCCACGCCACGCCCCGTCAACCCACGACACGCGATGACACGCAACGTCGCAGTACATGTCACGCACCGCCACGCGATGACTCGCCACGTTACGCCACGCCCCGTCAACCCATGCCACGCAACGCCACGCAACGCCACGCAACGCCACGCAACGCCACGCAACGCCATACCACAATACAACACTTATAACCACACAACAAGTCACACTACACCACTCCCGCTCCACCCCGCCCCGCCCCACCCCGCCCCAATCCATATAACACATCACAACACCACAAATCGCAACACACAACACCACATTTTATCAAATTCTATTAATGTCAGATCCATGTAAACTTTGTTTGAATTTGAGTGCCACCGCCGCCTTGTTTTTAAAACAACGTATAGGTCTTGCATATATATTTTGTTTTTAAAACCTGAAGTGAAATTATAAATTTAGAAGTGCATGTAACTTTTTTTAATGAAAAATAACCAATTCAAGCGGCAGTTAACAACATTAGTATAACACACACCCCTTGATACAGATGATGCAAATGATTTGGGGGATGCGGTTCTTGTCAGCATTAGTGGGAAGACGTTGAAAACAATCCGATGGCCGGACAGGATCCCAAGTAAGTAACAGGGATAAAACTATTTCCACAGTCAGAAGATATATCTGCTAAAAGCAGAGTTCATTGTAGATCCCGTCAATATAATATAAGCATGTGTTAATGAATCACGTATGGTAAAGTTACCAGGTGGTCGAGAAAAGGTGAACGTAACCTGTCCCACCGGTGGCATCCGTCACAAACACATGCAAAGGCAAGTCAATTGCTTACCTGAAAACACTCGGAAACATGGTAGAAGTGAAAATAGGGAATTGCATCAGTAATCATTTTTGAAAATTTGAAAATGTCCTCCCATGTTTACCATTTGTACTAAGTCATTTTTCAAAGGACCTCATCCGTGGTTAGTTGATAGAGCGTCTGCCCGGGAACAGAAGGCGGCTGGTTCGATCCCCGGCCGCGTCATATCAAAACACGTTTAAAGATGCTACTTGTTGTTACAAGGACTGGTCGGCTCGGAGTATACTGTGTCTGAGTCGGGTGTCCATCTAAAACTGCGGCATCGTATCTGACAATTGTCATTAGTCAGGGCTAGCAGCCACACACCGAGTCACAGACACGTTCATGCACGTCGTTATAAAAGTGCAATAATCTTCATCGCGATATAAGACCACATTGCACCTCACCTCAATGTTGAAGCTGTGTGTGTTAACTAAAACTCACGCTGATTCACGAACACGATTATGAGACCGAGAGTCGTCGGATCATAACAGGAGTCAATCAGCACGTCTACTTTCCTCACCTTATACGGCTGGGCCACTTGTATGACGTGTTATTCACGCCACGTGTCAAAACTCAATTACATACAACAAAAGAACAATCTGTTACTGGTAAATCCAACGGTCGTATCCAACTATGATTTCAATGTGTTATAATGGTGAATACTGTGTGTTGTTTTTGTGAGTATTATCTTTATATATCAGTAAAAGACGGAGAGGTGTCGGTACGTGGAACATACAGCAATGACAAAGTCGAGGCGACAGGTAAACTCTTTTATGTTCATTATTCACACGTATGCATAAGTAATTTATTGCAAATGTGCAAGTTTTCTAATATTAAATATTGAGTTGTTTATTCAGCATGTTTATAGCGTTTATCTTTCGTCAAAGCATATATTAAATTTCTACTCTTATTTCCTATGAAAGCCACATGCGAAAATGGATTGATTGTGCATCTTAAAACAGACTGTGGGATGGTACCAAATGCTGGTTCTTCTTTTAACCGCACAATTTGGACACTTAGTGATATTGACAGTGATGCCATGTCCAGTTTGATGGCAAATTCATACAGAGGACTGAGAGACATAAAAAACGATGTCAAAGACAAACATGGCGCGCCCTGTGTCTGTATGAAAGAAGGAAGCTTAATTCTTGAGTTCGGGCATGATACCATAGAAGATGCAAAGCAAATGTTCAGCAGAAGGGATGACGTGGCCCTTCTGTTAAAAACAATACTTGGAAAATACAACATTAAGGACGACTTCAGTGTGAATTGTGAGATAAAGATCATAGACGAATGTGATGTTGTCCCTGAACTGCCAACATCCTCGACAGAAAAAGAGGGAAAAGGCAAGATATTGTTTTTTGTGTGTTTTTTTGTCTGTTCTTTAACGTCACAATCAGCATTTGTACATAATCAAGTCTGGGCCAGACAAACCAATCACTAAAGGCATGAGTATCGCACCTAATATAGCCCTCGTGGGCCGAGGACACAAAGTCGGCCATGGGAGCGAGCCTGATCACCTGATCTAATGTGGACTCATCTCACCACAAGCAATAAAGTACCGGGGACATATTCTAACCCGGATCCCCATGGGTGATTGATATTAGAATAAGTCGTATATATTAAGATCACAATGATACAAATACTAGTATTATTGGATATAAAATAAAGACAATCAATTGCAAACTTCCTTTTGAATCATCATTGCTTTGTTGTCTGGATGCTTTTCTCATTGGTCAGTACCATTTTAGGAAAGCAGTATGCCGCTTCCCAAAGCGAGTCTGGGATTTACTCAAAGTCATCCAGAGGAGAACCTTCTTGGCGAGTAAAACAAGTTGTGGATACTGATTCAATGCTGGCTGATCTGTAAGTAGCGTCCATTATAGATTATATTATTATAATTATGATATAAATCTTCCAGCGTCTTAAAAATTGTAAGTAATAGATATAATTCCATGTGACACAGCGTCTTTAGTAACTATATTCCAATGTTTTGTTTATAATCGTTTTCTACATGTTTGAATTGTTTGTGTTTTAGATCTAGAGATGAAGATGTAGATGGTGAGTGTGAAAAGGGTATTTCGTGGCCATTCCGGTTTAGAATAGGTCTCCAGCAAGTAATGCTGCTTGTAAGAGGCGACTAAATGGATCGGATTTTTGTATTCCCTTGTGTGACGAAGTTGAGAGTGAGGGACTGCCCCCATGTATTTTTGTATGCTTAATGTTTAATTTCCTTAGTTTTTTGTTACCTCTTAGGCGGTCACTAAATAACCAATTGGACCTTTAGTGTATATAACACGTTTTAAAGCACAAACACGCACCTTTTCATGGTGGGCTTATTACGCCTGTTAGTGAACATGCTAATCCGTAACAACGGATTTAAGTCTGTTAAAAAACACACTTTCTAGCCTTGGCTGGCCGCTTGGTCTGCAAGAGTCTCCCGATTTGAGTCTCGTCTAGGTTGAGTTTAGATGTTCATTAGACTTTTGAAACCTAAACTTAAATTAGAGCCCGTTCCACAAAGCAATCTTAGCGCTACGATTGTCGTATGTCAGTGTTAAAGAATTGGAGTTACAATCACCTTAGCGCTAAGATCGTTTTGAAGTTCTATTCTAGTTGTTCTATTGTATTTACGCCTCAAAATATTGTCAGATGCATTATGACGTCAAAAACAGTAAAGTTGTTGTCGCCTATGACTACATTTTACATCTCCCTCAAGTGTCAGTTATTCGAGCCGAATAGCGACTCGTGCCCCTCTCATGGCCATTTTTGCGACTGGGTTCCGTCTTAGCGCAAACGGGCATACCTAAAACAATTGTCAACTCTTTGCGTAATGGTTCACGTATATTTCCCCTTATATTATAAATATTTCATAGGTAATTTAAAACACATCGGAACATGCTGAATAATACAGTATGGTTAAGTACATTTAACTGTGTTTTGGGTATATTTTTTTATGCAAGACATATGTAAAATCAAAAAATATTTCTGAGGGATTCTTTGACGAAGACCTTGAAATCATACGCGCATTCTGATTGGTTTGTCGTTTTTTCGCAGAAAGCATTCATCGATCGGGGCATCCGTCACCACTCGCCCCTTTCCGTAACTTGCAAGAAGACTCGTCCCCCTATCGATGAATGTTGACAATTGTTTTAGGTATGCCCGTTTGTGCAAAGACGGAACCCGGTCGCAAAAATGGCCATGATAGGGGCACGAGTCGCTCGGGGACGTGTTTTCTTGCAGGTTACGGAAAGGGGCGAGTGGTGACGAATGTAGTGTCGGTAACTGGTACGTCATTATGACGACACAAATACAGCTGTTGTGTGTCGCCTGTGACTACGTTGAAGGCTGCATAAGAGTTGTTGGGCGGCGAATGATTTTGTGTGCATAAAGGAGTTTTAATGATCACAAATATCTGGACTGTTTTGTTTTTTGTTTATTTATTGCTTACACAAGAAATACCTTGTTTATATATACTCTTTATTTCTTACGTGTGTATAATCAAGTCTGCTCATTATTCGTACCTTTTTGAGAATTACGAATCGGCTCCTCTGTGGGTGAGGCGTTACTGTAGGGTAGGCGGAGTAACCATAAGTTACGCTCAGTGACGTCTGCTGCCTTATTACATTTTCAAATTGTCAAAAAACACTCTTGTTTTGCTGTTACAGGTTGCGATGAATGTCGAAACAAGCGTGACGTCAAAAGAAATCAAGAGATAACCACACCAATGTTGTATCTTTAGATAAACGAGAAATGCGACAAAGGAAACGGTTTGAAATGGTGGGGAAGATTTCTGCTGTGAGAAACTCTGAAGGAGGACGCATCTTGTGTCACATCAGTGGACGAAACAAACAAGATAGAAACCTCAATTATTTCGATGAAATGTTCTTCCAGTCTGATACCCTACCAATTGGTGAAGAGGAAATCTATTCTCATGTCATACAAAGAGAATGGTATGGGGATACTGACTTTGTCATCATAACGGTATCTCACGCAACGTGTGTATGTACAGTAAGTGTAAACAGCTACATTGCCAAGTACGGCAGTTGTGTGACTGTTTCCCTTCCCCAGCTGAGGACATTACTGTTCGGAGAACAGGCAGCAGGACACGGACCTCCGCTGATTAGAGGAGTGGAGGATCTTCAAGAAGGAGTCGACAAACGCTTTAAACCTCAAGCCGATGTTCCTATTCGTGCTTCTGAACAATTTTACGCATATAGATTACAACGCTATATTTCAGCATTCTCCAAAAACCGCTCTGGTGGGTCCTTCTATATAGGTGTTAATAAAATGTACATCACACATTATCGCTACAAAACAGTTAAAGTGGATATAAAGGGTTGTCCCATCCCGTCTCGGGATCATACAGCGTACAAACAAGAGTTAAAAACCCTTGTAAGAAAAAACATGATGATCATACCGAACATTCACACGAAACAACCATGTGACCTTCAAGACCTCGTGGATGTTGCTTTTCATCACGTCAGAGAAGACAATTACGTCATCGAAATCTCAGTCGGGACGGTAAATGGCTGTGTGTTCACAGATAAAGGTGGACCGTCGGCCTACAAACTAGATGAGAAGGGGTATTTGTGTAGGATGTCATGGCAGGAATGGATGGAGAAGCTTCGGGCCGAGCCGCGCCCTACTTGATGACTTGGTGGCTTTGTGGTGTCATGGGAGTGGCATGTACAAAATTGACATGGTTCATATGATGATGGTCATGTCAGCTGTAACTGATGACAAATTCAAGATGTGGACTTGAAACTGAAATAGTGTATTGTTTTAGGTTTCACGAAGATGTTCCCAACTGTATAACCTTCTATAAATAGTTTTAGCTCACCTGAATGTCCTGGTGAGTTTGGGTGGTGATTTGGTCGTCAAAAACATTTTTTAAACTCTGGATCCCACACGCCTACAGTGCAAGTTCCTATTAACATACAAACGTTCAATAAACTGGTTTTAAACTTAACGTCACAATTTTTTGGGTCATTTGAGAAACTTCTCAAATGTTGTGTGAAGGATAACTTACAAACAGCTGAAATCATCCTCTTCAGCCTTGTTGACAATATCACTTGGAAGTTCTCTTCACAATTTACTATTCAGGGATAAGTGTCGCACCTTGTCACAACCTTTTGGGGTGAAAGGCTACCCAATATTATTGGATTTATGAAAATATTGGTTTATTTGATAATATAATTAAGATAGAGAATTAGTTACCTGAAAATATTTGCTCATGTGCGACATGTACACAGACCGCACATTCAGATTGAAAGTATTCATCTTTAATCTATAGATATGATACACGTGACTGAATATGAGAACCCCATTGGTTGGTCTTGGTCACAATGAACATTTCCTGATAGTTTAAATTGTGTGTAATTGTACACCATGTATGTTTATATTGTACTTGCTTGTTTATCGTTTAATGCCGCACACAGCAATATTCCAGCTATATGACGGAGGTCTATAAATAATTGAGTCTGGATCAGACAATCCAGGGATTGAGTCATGATCATCGATCCACGCAATTGGGACACGATGACATGTATCAACCAAGTCCAACCCGTTAGTCGCCTCTTACGACAAGCATGGGTTGCTGAATACCCATTCTACCCCGGATCCTCACGGGTGTTTTTATATTGTGGTTTATATCAATATACTGTAATGGTGTTGGAAGCTGTATATGAAACTTGCTTTTGACAATAAAATTCTTATCTTTATTATGTGTCTCAAATAATCTTTGAATTGGTTACTTTGGTAACCTTTCATGAAATTCGAAAATTACTCCTCAGCACTATAATGTTGGATGGACGATGGACGGGTGATGGACGGGTGATGATGGTTGGAAGATACATGTAGCTAGAGTCAAACATTTGAAACAGTAAAGTCCGGACTAGTACAAGCAGCCACACACACACACGCGCTTACACACACGTACACACACATGATGATCATACCGAACATTCACACGAAAGAATCGTGTGACCTTCAAGACCTGGTGGATGTTGCTTTTCATCACGTTTGAGAAGACAATTATGTCATCGAAATCTCAGTCAGGTCGGTAAATGGCTGTGTGTTCACAGATAAAGGTGGACCGTCTGCTTACAAACTAGATAAAGATGGTTCATTGTGTAGGGTGTCATGGCAGGAATGGATGGAGAAGCTTCCTTCATTACTTCATGATGAATTTTGCGGTGGCTTTATACAAAAACAACATGGTTCATGTGATGATGGTCATGGCTTCTGTAACAATCGACGCCTGTTTGGCAAATTCAAAGAGTGGAATTGATGAAACTGAAGGAGTGTAATGTTTACATGTAAGTGCTGTGCTGTTTTATGAAGATATTCTCAACTGCGTAAATTTACATACCATTAGTTTGGATGGGGACTTGACCATCCGTAAACATTCCTTTTTACAACTGTGGATCCCACACGCCTACCATGCATGTTCCTGGCACAATTCAATTGGTGTTACACGTTTGTGTCTTTTGAAACCGACAGCTCAAAGCATCAGAAAAGCAGTCATCATCAGGTGGAATCTTTTTTTAGATTTTACCATTCAGGGATAATCGTCACACTTTGTCACCACTCCCAAATATTTTTTGATATTAATAATATTTATTTTACAAAACCAAAGAACAATCAGAATGGTTTGTATCAATGTACAGGTGTTGAAAGCTTTACAAAAAAAATCATTATGAATTTGATATTTTAATCCTTTTTGTGTAGGAAATGATCTGCACATTTGATTTGATAACCTGTCAGGATTAATGCAGGTTTCAAATGTAGACATTACTCCTCATGCTCGCTATGAAAGACAGTAACGCATTAGAAACACCCATACTAATACTATCATGGGTTAACTGGACAAAAGGTTTCACTTTTTATAATGATACGTGCACTAACTTGGGGATTAGGTATGGTAATAAGTGTCATAAATTATTAAAAGAGGGAAAAATATAAACCTGACACGTTCCAATATCTTACACATGCCCAGGTGAGATAACGCTATTCGGACATATTCCAGGACCAGTATCTCTTGTGCTGTTCTGATGAATTCCTACTCTGGTAATAGATAGATATAGTGTGTATTGTAGTTGTATTGTGGATCATATGCAAATTGCCGTAATTAGACTATTATCATGCTTTGAATTAATCAAACTATATTTATTAATCATTGTCAATCAATTTGTGTCATATTCGATATGTATGTTCTTCTTTCGTGTACCCATGTCAATCTACAAGTGATTTTAAACATTAGTAGACACTGCAGCTTACTAATAAACTGTTTATTCACTCTGGTGTTCTCTCGTGCACTGCTTAGCGAGTTGATCACCTATCTCAAGGCTAAGAATTGAAATTGGCAAAAACACCAATTTCGACAGAAGAAACAACACCCTGACGACTCAACCCCTCACAACGTCTGACCTAATATTAGCATGGGGCGAAAGTAATCATCTAGCCGAAATCAACATGGTCTCGCTGGCGAGATTCCGGTTCCTGTGTATCCAAGCATGCCCACCATGGAATCTCGCCGGAACTGACGACATCTCACCAGAAGTGAGGTGATCTCGCGGGACGAGACGGGATTGGATAGGGGCGTATACGCCGAGGAGAGAGAGGAAGAGGAAGGAGGTTGGGCAACGGCGTAGAGATGGAGTGCCGAGCTGCATAAAAGAACAACAACAAGTAGGTAGTTTCGAGCATGTGTTTGAAGCACTCTTTTGAGACGATTGGAGGTGGCGCTGAAAAAGGTTGTTGGAATGGTGAGAGAGAATAGTATTTATTGACAACTGCACACAAGATCCAGGCTTCAGAAAACGATTTGGCCTTTGCACGCCCTGTCGGGCAATTCTAGTTGCATCTTTCGAACTATTCCCACACATTACATGCAGGCATACATGGTGGCTGCCAGTACAAAGTCAAAATCGGATGAAGGGATTCGCTTTGAAGCATAATTGAACTGGGGTCGAATTGGCTGGGATTTCCGATGTTTCTCTCTTGGGAGAAGGTGCTCCTGTTGCTGTCAACGTCAGTCTGTTACGACGTCCTGTCTTGAGTTTCAATAGGCCTCAGAAATACCTTTCTGAGAGACGGACTACATCTTAGACACTGTTTCCTTTCACAGTTGCGTCGGTAAGGCTGCTGTCTTGTGAGTGAGTGAGTATGGTTTTACGCCGCTTTTAGCAATTGCTGTCTTGTAGATTGGTAGGGTGGTAGCGAGTCTGACATCCTACCTAAAGGAGCCTTTATAGGACCAAATGACGTCATGTTAGTGCGTGCGCTGATAACGTCATGGTAGTGCGATGACATGATCAGTGAGCGTGTGATGACATCATGCCCTGTGGCTTTTCTAATTTGAGCCCTATTATATAATGAATGGCCGAGGGATGTTACTGCATAACAGCAACATGGAGAACTGGCTTTTAGAGCTCGTTTCGGTTGATGCACCTGTCGGTACTACATCTCCCTCCTTTTTACTTGCATGGCAATGTGCAAAGGCTGCCTGTGAACGCCCCTGGCACGATAGCATATCATGGGGCATTGTCTTGTCAAACTCAAGGATTCGTACGTGCAGCGTTTCCAATAAGGAAAAAAATTGAAAATCCATCCGTGCCTGTGTCATGGTATGTGATCTAGTTTCTCGATCCCACTGTCCTTTTCAGTACCAACCATCTCTCTAAGAGTAACACTCTGATTATTGCAAATTAAAAAACAATAACAATATTTATTTCCCCCGCTAACAAGAACACTTCACAAAAGACACAGGATTTGGGGCGTCCCTGGTCTTTGGTTTACAAACTCTAGGCAATTTGATAGGAGAACTTTAACATGAGAACTGTAATATGAGTATGATACCATGTCTAAGATAGAGTCTTTTGAGGACAGTAAAGTTGTTCACCTTGACAAGGTTGTCGGTTTTGGACATGGGTTTCTTCTGTGGGTAGGGAATGTTGAATCTGAAACCAATGTCTTATGAGTCCTTCATTGCTTTTGATATCGTGGGGATCAAACTGTTCCATTACACCCTCAAAGGATTTGCAAACTGAAGTTCAACTTGACAGTCTGTTGTGGGATGAACAGTCAGATCCACAACTCATAGAGTTTAGCCATTTCTGAACTGGTCCAGGGTGAGGGTGTAGGAATGTTCGTGCCGTAGGTGTCTGGTGTTGCAGAACAGGTTCTTATAAAATTGTTTGAGCGATGGTTTCTATAAACTTGTTTGAGCACTGCACTGTTGTCCTCAAAGTAACTATTGTTCAGCTCCATGGACTACCCATTGAGTTTCAACTTGAGGCTGATCACTTTGAAATGTTGGAAATGGAAGGGATTCTTTCTAATTCCTTGCTGCCAGCAAAAGTTTCGGTGGCCGCCAGGCCAAGGACCGCAGCTTTGGACAGCTGCTCTCAAATCAGTTGATCTTTATGGAAGTCGCGCTCTCTTCTTAGATTGTCATTGGCTGTGACTTGGACTCGGAACAAAGTGTATTTGGCCGTCAATCCTGATAACATGTGTTCCAAGATCAATGTTGACGTACATAAAACTCGGCTTTCGTCAATTCAAATCGACAAATGCCCTATCCAGCACTCATCAGGTAGAATTATTTGTGCTGCGAATCAGTTCAATTGTCAAGGTGTAGACGAACTGTCAGTTCGACTTCTCTGGAGGACAGAATGACCCGTCGTCGTGCCACTAACCCTATGTTGGCATTCTGGTCTGCAGCATTATATTGATCCATTTTTCCAGCTACATCTATGTACCATCTTCGGCCCTGGAGTTGGTTTCTGCTGCATCCCCATAACTTAGCAACTCTTCCAAATATGCTTGGTGAGGGAAGGTTCCCATAGAGGGAATAATCTCCAACTGGTTGTGACCCACTTCCACACGTACCTCACGAAAGAGGCAATGCATCATGTTGTTCACCGTGGACACATTTAGTCCATCATCAGCATCACGTACCGCATCCGTACCATCTGTATTCTTGACTTGCAGACAGCTATTTAGGTAACACAAATCAAATCAATGTAGGCATTGACAGTGTTATCGATGTTAAATTGAAGGGGACCAGCCACCGAGGGTGTACAAGAGGACTGTAACAAATCCACTGACCTTCTTGTACTTGATCACAGACGGGACATAAAAGAGGTCCAGTTGAGCCATGGATCATTTGCAGGCATCTTGGCGCATCATCTTGTCAGGTGTTGAACAGTGCACATACCCCTTCTGGACTGACATATATGTTGCTTGATCCGTATCAGGTACATCTCGCCCGAACAACCCCAAAAGGCTGGTGGTGGTGCAGACGGAGACGACAACGACCAAGGCACTCAGCTCTTCTCTTCCATTCTTCTTCGGACAACGGGTCGGTTGGGTGGCCAAGTGGTTAAAGCGTTCGCTCGTCACGCCGAAGACCTGGGTTCGATTCCTGACATGGGTACAATGGTGTCCCCCGCCGTGATATCGCTGGAATATTGCTAAAAGCGGCGTAAAACCTCACTCACTCACTCTTCGGACAACAGGTGCCTGTATTTTTCGTTCACTTCTCCTTTAGGACAAAACACGCAAATGTATTCACAGGGGACTTTGATGTTATTTCCAGGGTTTGTGGCTTCCCATTAGCAAAAGGTCGTCTAAAGCGCCGTGATTCGCTGTGCAGAGTTTCGTCCCTTGGGCACGCCTGAAACCTATGATTGTGGGTTCGAATCCCGGTTTGCCCCGA